GGGGAGATCGACAAGCAGATGGCGGATTTGCAAGAGCTGCAGCGCGAGCTCCAGCGTGAAGTACCAGTTCCACCTCAGGGCTTTACTGGGCAGCCTGCCGCCGACGAGCCGATCATGGACCGCTCTGTCACGCTGGACGGCCTGGGTAAAGTGCTCACGGCGCTCGGGGCAAACCATGAGCTGGCGGAGCGGCCTAAGACAGACGTCGGGCATTTGCGCAAGCTGGAGGCTGAGGCACGTGCCGAGCAACAAGCTGCGCGTGCTGAACGCGAAGCCGCAGATCGAGCACGTCATGAGCACGCCGAGGCGCAGGCTCCAGGCGAAGAAATGGAGGTGGAGGCCAAGGGCGAGCAAAGTCTGCTCGAGGAGATGGCCAAGGCGGGAGGAGACAAGCGTAAGATCGCTGAAACCCTCGCGGCGCACGGGGCCAAGGTCAAGCGGGCCGAGTCGGGGCCCTCCGTGCCGCGGGCGGTCTCGCCAGCAGCTGCCCCGCCTCAGCGGCGGCTCGTCTTTCCTGCGGATGCTCTTGTCTATGCTGGTTTTCTTTGGGTTAATGGCGGGTTCGATTGCTATCACTACTTCGAGTGTTTTTTTCGGGCGGCCCTCTCATCGACTACCTGAAGTCCGGCCGCAGCATGTGCATCGCCGCGCAGGAACATCACGCCCGCGTCGAGGGCGGCGGCTTGGCCAATGCACAGCAAGACGGCTTGGCCGAGGGCTTACATGGAATCGAGGGATTGCAGAAAAACCCGAAGGATTGCACAAAACCCTCGTTTGAACGAAGGACTGCAATCCTACGAAGGTTTTTTTGGCAATCCCGAAGGTTTTTTTTGCAATCCTTCGTTGGAGTCCGCTCTGCCAGGGGCGGGCGCTGGGGCCCAGGCAGGAGTGGCCATCGTGGCGCCCAGGCGAGCGTTGGTCACCGCCCCGCCTGGCCTGGGCGGGCCCGCGCTGGGGCCTGGCAGGATGGCAGCCGCGCGTGTCAGTTGCGGCGGCCGAAAGGGCTTCGCCGTGGTCTCGATCTACCTGCGCGCCGACGAGCACCTGTCGTCCGAGAACCTGGCCATGCTTTTCAAGCTCTACAAATACCTCAAGGTGCTGGAGGCGATGCCGATGCCGTGGATCGTGGGCGGCGGCTTCAACATGGAGGTATCTCAGCTCAGGCACTCCGTCAATGGCGTGGCCATTGTTCCGTCGGCCCCCACATGCTTGCCATCGCTTCCTGGCAGCGTGATTGACTATATCTTCGCCTCCTGCCCGCTGGTCCCACGACTCGACCCCGCAGCGGTGGGCGAGGCCGATGCGTGGCCACACCTGCCCGTGACCATCACGATGCAGGCGAAGCCCCAGGACGTGTGGATCTTGGAGCTGGTGCAGCCGACAAGGGTTCAGCAAGCCTCCCAAGGCAGGGCGCGCGCGGCCGCCTCCCGACTGGGAGCCGCTCCTCCACCAGGCTCGGAAGGCCACCGCGGCGCTGGGTATGCCACATGTTTGGGACCAGTTGCTGCTTGGCACCGAGTTTGAATTGCAGGGCAGGTTCGATAGACCGTATGCTGGCGAGTTGACCTGTAAGACAGGCCCCCCCCGGCGCTCGAGTGGAAGAAGTACGATCCTGCGGATCCTGTTTCCTGGAAGCGCAAGGCACCACACGTTGCGGCTTGGGCTACGGCTGCGCGGTGGGCTCGCCACGTTCGCAGAGTGCGCACTGCCCTGCAGGCGTTTGTGCTCATGTCAGCCAGCCCCGCGTTCGTGCTCTCGTCGGTCAACAATCGCGAGGGGGATGTGCGTGAAAGCCCCCCACAGAGGGGCGGCATTTTTCACGAAGCTGGTCCCTCCAGCAGTTCACTGAGGACGGCTGGCTTGTCTCCAGGCACGTGCAGTGGATCGGCCTCTTCGTCAGCAGGTGGCGGCGAATCGCTGGAAGGGGGGCCCTCGGTTGTTAGAGCGCGAGCCCCAGCCCCCAGGTGCACCCACGAGGTGAACAGCGCGAGGAGTTGGGCTCAATCGCCGAGTTGTTTGCTCGGGCCTGCCCCCAGGTGCGCCCGGGGGGTGAACGGCGAGTGGGGCAGGCCCGCCTCGATGCGGGGAGCTGCTGGTGACGCGACCTCTTCCCCGCTGGCACTCGAGGCGACTCCCGAATGCCTCTCGGAGGAGACGCGCGCAAGAGACAGGCCCAGCAGGACCGCGACCGCTTCGGAGGAGGTCGCGGGGGAGCGGGGGCCCCAGGTTTGCGGCGAAGCTGGGTCTCAGCGAGGTGGGCTGGATGCTCGTGCGCGGTTTCCTCTCGGAGAGGGGCCGGGTGCACCTTGATCGCCGGCCTCAAATATGGGGGGAGGTCAGGCTCCCAGCTGCTGAGGGATAAGGTGTTGAGAGCGCAGGGCCCCGCCCAGCGCCTGCCTTCGAGGCGCCTGGCGTGGCGGGCAGCTGGCCCCCGACCTCCCCCCCGCGAGAGTTCCCCCGACAAGCTCTGCACCAAGACCGCGAAGCACATCTTGGAGTTCGAGAATTTCTGGCGTCGCATGGGAGCTTGAGCTGATATCTGGAATGACGTGGATGGGCAGGCCCACGTTTCTTCGGGCGCGGCATCGGTTCCTTCCTGCAAGACGATTTCGGGCGGCAGATCGACAGGGTCCTTGCGAAGGCCGAGGCGACGCAGCGCACTCGCGATCAGAAGGTTGCCCAGGGCAGAGGGTTGCGGGCTGGGGCAGCCTTCGAAGGTGGAGCCAGTCGCGCTCACAAGTTTTCTAAGCCGCAGGCTCTCCAGGAGGTCATTGACTTCGGCGAGGGAGTGCAGCATGCTTGCCAGCTCGCCGACAGGAAGTTGGAGTATTGGAACGGCTCCTGGCAACATCATGAGGCTCTACCTGTCGAACTTCTGCCTGATGCTGCTGAGTGCGATCCGCTCCCGCCCCTTGCTGGCAATGGCATCCGCACGGCGATTCGAGCCTGCAGTTGGGCGACGGGGGCAGGGCGGGCCAAGATCGCGCCGCGGGTGCTCGACCAGCTATCTGACCGACGCTCCCTTGAGTGCGATGGCGTTGTTGTTCTGCCGCTGTGAGGAATTGCTTCTTTGGCCTCAGGAGCGGCTCATCTCCCAGATGGCGCGTCTCCCCAAGCCACGGGCAGGGGGGCGCCTCATCGCGCTCCTCAACGCTCTGATACGTGTCCGGGGTCGGGCGCGTCGACCGATTTCGGCGGACTGGGAACTGCGCAATGCCAGCGAGGAGTTCTGGGGCTATATCGGCTGGCGTTCCTCCGCAGACGCGGCGCTCGACCTGGCGCTCGAGAAGGAGACGGCGCAGTTGACTGGCAAGCGTGCGTTGGTCGTCCTCCTCGACATGCTCAAATGCTTTGATATTGTCAAGCACTCCGCCATCCTCAACGAGCGCAGGGCGAGCAAGTTCCCCATGCGCCCGGCGTGCATGCTGGTCTTGCTTTGCGAGCAGGTGCGCTCTATCTTCGCGTGGAACTCTTTCTCTCGGGCTCAGCAGGTGTGCCGGGGTATCTTGGCAGGATGCGCGCATGCCGCCGCGATTATGATGGTCCTCCTCACGCGCAGCATCAAGTTAACCACTACTGTTGCGATGGAGGTACGACCGAGAGACCTGGTCGATGACGTGGCCTTGAGTTGGACGGGCCTCGATCCCCGCGGCTCGCGTTTTGTGGCTCTGGCGCGCCGAGTCTTCTGCATGTAAGTGCGCGCTCTTGGCCTCATTCTACAACTTGACTAGTCTGGCCACTTAGCTTTGACGCGTGAGACGGCTTATCAGACGGATGCGCAAGATCGCAGGCAGGCGTCATGTGCGGCATTTTGGCCATGACCTTGGCGCTGCAGCGGCCGCGCGCGGGGCGCAGAAGGGCCGCCTTAAGATGATGCACGGCAAGCAGGCCAGAATCCGTGCTCTTCAGCGGGGAGCTGGCCGTGCCAAGGCGGTCAGGATTTGGACCACAAGAGTGCTTCCCTCTGTCGGTCACGGCGCTGCCGTCAGCGGTATCAATGACAGCGAGCTGAAGCAGATGAGGAGCGTTGCTGGGAGTTTCTGTGGATTCACAGGCTCAGGCTCGCTCACCCTATACCTCGCGGTGCACAAGCGGCGCACATACGACCCGATCTACCACGGTACTTGGATTACCCTGCAGCTGTATTCAGCCTGGGTATGGGGGCCCCGCGGTTCGCCGTCACACCTCCAGAAGGCGTGGATGGCGCTGCGCGACCAGATCAGGGACGCCTCCCAATTCACCTGGGCTGGCGCCAGGGGCCCGCTCTCGGCGCTCTGGCTCACGCTGAAACGAGTGTGCTGGGACACGGCGTCGTCCACGGTTGTTGTCGACAACCTCGGCGTTGCGTACGACTTGCTCAGGGTGTCCCCTAGCGAGTTGAAGCGCCACCTGTTCGCCTGCTTGGTCGCCACCTGTCTAAACTTCAGGGGCGTTCGGTTTCTCACCTTCCCTGACCTCTCCCCATGAGCGGCTGGCAAACTTCTGCCTCCCCGCTATCCCCTTTTCCGTTCCTTGCGGCCCCTTTTCTCGCACGCGGAAAGGGTGTGCCAGAGGTGTGGGCACATATGGGTAAGGCGGTGTGGGGTACGGACGAAGGCGTAGGGTAGGAATAGGTGGGGGGAAGGTGTGTGCGGTAGGGGTGTGATGGGGCAGAGGCTGGGGTTTGACCCCCCCCCTATCCACCTTCCTTTCGGGGGCGCGCAAGCATGGATTAGCGATCCATGGATTGGGCGCGCGGTCGCCAAATCCATGGATCGGGGGAGGTGCCCTCCTCAAAATGCGGCCAGGGCGGCGAAAATGTCAGATTTCCCATGGAAAGGGGACCCGTCGCTGATCCACGCCTCCTTGATCTAGTTTTGCGATCGCCTGACCTCCGTCCTCCTCCATCCTGACCTGCTCCCTATCACATCCCCCCCGAACATCCTTCCTGGCTGCCTCGGCTGTCCATGTCTTCCTCGACTCCGGTCGCTTTTTCCACCCTCGCTCGAAGGGCGGCAGTCCAGCGTGGCGATGTTCTGCTCGAAGTCCGCCAGCCTCTGGTCCTGCTTGAAAACGGCGTCAACCTGCAGCCACCCCGAGGAAGGTGAGGATCTTTGTGGTTGAACATGCCTTGAAGCTCCGATGAAGATCCTGCTGGCATTCGGTCGGGCGTGTCCTCCTACAGGCGGATTTTGGACGAAAAACCAAGCGTAGCCAAACAATGCTCAAACATAGTGAAACATAGTAGACAAATCGTCCCCAGACTATTTTTTCGACTATTTGGGCATATTGCTCCTGCAAAGGGACACGCCCGACTCAAGACTAAGCGAACAATTAACATATGCCTTCGGGGCAGAGCAAGGGGCTGGGGCGCACAATGAGCAGAATTAGGACGAGGAGGGAGAAGAGAAATTATGATAGACAGCACCGACTAACAACTCTGCCTATGGGAGCCATCGCGCAGCGTATAAGGCACGCTTCAGCACGTGCGCTGCACTGAAGACAACGCGCATGTCATGTGAAGGCGTCTAGGTTCAAGCGGGCGGGGCGTAATAAGAGCGAGGGAGAGAGAGAGAGAGAGAGAGAGAGCGAGAGAGAGAGAGAGAGAGAGCGAACGATATGAAGAAATACACACATCAGAGAACTGACCCTTGCTGGGCCCAGAAAAAATCAGACGCCGTTCCCAGTTTGTCCGAATGCCAATGGCGCAATTCTCGGGGGGGGGCCTTGAAAACGACAAACTGGCAGAAACTTTTCGTCATCACGAGTGGCCCCGCAAGTGCAGCCGTCTGGCTCGCTGAAGGCCTTGGGCTCGTTCTTCACGCGGTGACCGCTGGTGGAGCACACAACGCCTGGATGCATCGTGGCGCGTGCCGCCATACACCATACCTGAATCACGGCAAAGGGCGAGACCCTCAAGTGATTTATAATTATCGAGCGCGGTTGCAGGGAATGCGTTCCATGTGGAATTGGTGAAAAGTGGACTCCTTCGCGCGCGTCATGGCACATTGCCCAGGGATGGCGCTCAATCTGCATACCTTGTTACGAAATAATGCAAGTCAACAACGCCGACCATACGAATCATCTTGTGCGACCACGCATATTGTTTCATGCTCCGCACCACATCCGGGTAAACGCAACTGATTTCCTCAAGCGTTATCTGCGCAGCAAGGAGGAGGGGAGGAGGGGGAGGAGGGGGAGGAACAGAGGAGGAAGGCAAAGGCAGGACGAGGAGGACGAGGAGGACCAGGCGGAGGTGGTGGCATCCACGATGCATCTTCGCTCGGCCACCGATTGCGAAACAACGCGAGCCTTGACAGGGTGGGGCACCCACGCCACGAGCGGCCCCCTGGGCCAACACCCTCCCCTCTCCCTGCGGCGCCCCGCACCTCCTGAGCCGGGCGGCTACTCCGCGGCCCAGACTGAAGTCGGGCCTGCCCCTCTGCAGGGGGGGAATATTCAAAAATATGTTCAACATAGTCTGGGGACGTGTTTTTTTTTTGTGTATTTCTGTGTATTATTTGCATTCCTTGAATATCGGAATTTTTCGTCCAGAATCCGCATGTCGGGGGACATGCCCGACCTAAGCCTAGACACGGGCAGAGACTCGTTCCTGGCGCCTGGGTCCCGGAAGCCCCTTCAGAGAAAGCGAGCCAAGCGCCCACGCGATACGATGACGACGGACGGCGACGGCGACGGCAGCGGCGACGACGACGACGACGACGATGCTCTGAAGACCCCACCTGGGGGCGCGTTCTGGCCATGACTTCGGAATGGGATCCAGCCTTGGCAAGCGCCCCAGGAGACCCAAACAAGGACCCACAAGACGCCTCGAAAAGCCAGAGGGAGGAGGAGGGCGAGGATAGCGAGGATGATGGGCGACGGCGGCAAGGACGGCGACGGCACTTCCAGACACCCCTGGCGCCGAACACCCTCGAATCTCGCACACGGGCGATGCGGCCCGAAACGGCCAGAAGCCTCGACCCTCGACTCCCAAACACACCCCGATCGACAGCGATGCGCCCCCAAACGCTCGGAGAGCGTCACGGAACGCTCTGGAGCAACTCATCCGAATCCTGGCCCGAATGCGAGTCCAAGAAATATGAAACCCGGGATCAAGCATCATGAATGCTTGAGCGGCCCAAGGTTGCCGCAGGCACGTCTCTCGACACCACGCGACTCATAGCAGGCAGCGGAAGCTGAACCGCCGCAGCTCCGTAGCCCCAGCAGCCGCGGGGGAAGAACAATACATCCGTCGCCGCGGGGAGCGCTACTCCCCCCAAGAGTGAGGACGGGGGGGGTCCTTCCTTCATAATTCTGGGGCTGACATTGCCTGAGCGATGCCGAGGAGGACGACGCCAGCATCGTCGCCGTGGTCGTGGTCGTGGTCGTCGTCGTCTTCGTCTTCGTCCTCGTCGTCGTCGTCGTCGTCGTCGTCGTCGTCGTCGTCGTCGTCGTCGTCGTCGTCGTCTTCGACGTCGTCGTCGTCGTCGTCGTGGTCGTCGTCGTCGTCCCATTCATTTCCCTTGCCCCCTCTCCCCTCCGTCTCTATGCAAGAGAACAGCCAGCAACGGCGACGAGGGCGACGTCAGCGTCCGCGACGGCGGCAGCGAAATCTCACCGGGGCCTGCCGCGTCAGCTCCGCTACCGCGGCCGCCAAGCCGCCGGCCGGGGCCTGGGCCGACCTCGGCATGGGCCACGCCCAGGAGGAGGAGGACGACGAGGAGGAGGAGGAGGAGGAGGAGGAGGAAGGGAGGAGGAAGGGAGGAGGAAGGTGAGGAGGACGAGGCCCAGACAGCTTGCTGAAAGGGGCCCATCCCTACAGGGCCTTGCCACGCCATCGGCGGGGTCTCGCTTCGCGACTTGGGGGTGCATCGCTCCGCGACTGAAGTGGCATCTCGCTGTGCGGTTGGGCTCGCGCGCAGGCCGAAGTCTCGCGCGGGGAGGGTGCGTCGCATCGGCGGGGCTCTCGCTCCGTGTTCAAGGGCTACAACGAGAAGGAGTGGACCAAATTCAAGCAGACTTGCAGCGCTTACACTTGAGCAAGCCACCAAGTGCAGCCTCGAACTTCGAGCTTCGAGGAGGGGGGGGACCAGAGTAGGTGGACCCCAGGTGCATCAACGATGCTGCAATACACCCTCCCGAAGTCCAGGTCACCCACAATCATTCCTACAGCCTGTCCATCTCGTTCGTCCAGTCCTACAACCACCGAATATCCTTTCCTGCAGCCTTCACCCTTTCCTGCAACCTTTCTCAAAACCCTCCCATCGCCTTCCCTACAACCTACACCATGTTCTACGAGTTCTTCCTTCCCGCTGCGCTCCTACAACTGTTCCATGCCATTGCAAGAAGCGCCTCACTTGAGAGACCCCACCCACATGAGCCTGCCAATTTGGCAGAAGCCACGTCCTGAACAGGAGCTGCCTTGCATTCATCTGGCGCGTAATCAGGAAAGCGATAGACTACGACAATGCAATTTCGGTTCAACGAATTGTTCAACACTCTCTTTCTTTTAAAAAAAGGACCACCCCTGTCCGTGTAACGGTTGGTCAAGTTTACACTTGCGGCCATAAACTTGTGGGCGATTTCAAGCGAGGCTGCCTTCTTGAACATGAGCCGCCGTCGATTCGTGCAGTGCTACATCCGTGGAAGCTGCGGGTCGTCCGAGTTACAACTGGTTTCAAGCGAGAGTCCCATTTTGAAAAGGCCCTCCTCCATCCTTCAAGCTGTTCTTCATCTTCGAAACCCATCCAAATCTCAAGCTTCATGATCACTAGTTTTAGAAGTATCTCAAGCGAAACGCCCGGCCCGCCCTACATGCACGTCTGCGGGAGCGACAGGGAGGAGCTCTTATCAGGACAAGGGATGGGGGAGGGAGGCGGATCGAGGAGGCTGGAGGCGGGATGATCGTCCAGGGCACGAGGAGGATGGGTTGCTGGAGGGTTCGAGGTTGACGGGCGTTTTCGAATCTCGTTTGAGCTTCCTGGGGCGCCCTCGTCGCCACGGCTGGGCTCGCCTCGAGGCTCTGTCCGGGGCACACCTCAGGGAGCAGATCAGGTGAATGCTGGGCGCCAGGAAGGACGCGTGCGACACGACGATCTCCTAATACATCTAGTGGCGGAGCGAAGAGTGCAATCGAACAAGGCGCACAAGGGTTCAATTCAGCACTGTGCAGTCAACCCGTATACTGAGGACGCACGATAAGGATGCAGGGGCCATGTCGACACTTTGTGAGCGGGCGTGGCCAGCGAAAGCTGCCCAGGATGGGCCGGAGGGGAAGGATGCAAGGGTGACCCTGGGAAGCCACTCATCCTTACTTGTAATCCGCAGAGGAGGAGGGAGGCGGGGCGGGGGCGCTCCCAAGGCTGTCCTGGGCGAGCAGTGGCAGTAGTCTTAAATCGGGCATGTCCTCCTACAGACGGATTTTTGACGAAAAATAATGCATAGTCAACAAATGCCCCAAAAATTCGCTGGCCCAACGGGCCAGGGCGTGCTAAGATCTCCAGTACCTGGTTAACAATATTTCTAGTTCGCGCGCGCGGGGCGGCCCCTGGGGGTCCCCGGACGAAAAGTACCCCGGCAAGGTCCCGGCAAGTCCCCGGCAAGGTTCCGGCAAGGTCGGGCCAGAGATGCCGGAGTTCTGTTACAGGGCCCCAGGACGGGCCAAGAGGTCCCCAAGAAGCCTCCAAGACGGTCCAAGAGGGCCCCGAGACGGCCAAAGATCGCCCGAAGACGCCCAACAGGGCCCCAAGACAGCCCAAGAGGCCTCCAAGACGCCCCAAGGGCCTTCCAAGAGGCCTCTGAAGAGGGCCCCAAGAGGCCAAAATCGTTGATTTTCATTGTTTTTTTCGATGTTCTTTGCGTTCTGGCTTTTTCGGCTTCCGGACGCTCCAAGACGGCCCAAGAGGCCCCCAAGACCGCTCCAAGACGGCCCACGAGGCTCGGCCCAGGAGGGCCCCCAAGACGGCCCAAGTGCCGCCCAAGACGGACCAATAGGCCCCAAGACGGGCCCAAGAGGGGCTCAAGAGGGGAACCGAGAACTGAAAAATCGAGCCCTCCGCCCCAGAAGGCGCCCAGGAGGCCCCAAAAAGGCCCCAAGAGGCCCCCAACAGGCCCCCAAGACGCTCCAAGAGGCGCCCCAGAGGCCCAAAAGAGGCCCCAAGAGGCCCCAAAACGGCCCCCAAAACTCGGCCAGCCCACAACGGTGCGACAATAAATATGGGCCGGCGGAATAAGCGATTAAATATAATCAAACGTAGTCAAAACATCGTCCCCAGACTAAAAATCGTCCCCAAATTTTTGTTGTACTATTTTGGGATATTCTTCCTGTAGAGGGACATGCCCGACTCAACCGTAGTCGGGGTGCGGCGGGGGGCGGCGCGCGGTCGAACGCGAAAGCTCGCGCTGCGCCGCGCGAAGGGGAAGGCGCACCTATAGGGAGAGGTCCGGGTGTCCTGGAGGGACACCTCCTGTGGCAACTCGTGGGAGCCTCCCGTGCCATCTCGTTGGCTCTTGCGAATCGACGCTGGTCGACGCGCATCGAGGCTGAGCGACGCTAGATCGACGTTAATCGACGCGAGATCGGCGCTTCTCATCCACTACCAGGCGCCAGCGCACGCTAATGGACTCGGATGACAGAATCACGAAGACAAACCAGGCTCCCATGATTTGCGACCGGAGAAACATGTCCTGGAATATTGCTTACTGTCTTCGAGCTCCCTCAAACTAAAACGAAGCCAAGGCACAAAACAACCAGATAGGAACAAATCGGAGATCTCTGAGTTCCGGAAGTGTATCGGGCGCCGCGGCCATCTCAGAACGTTCCAGAACGCTCTGCGAGCGCTCCTGAACGCGCTGGAACAGCTTTATCCCTTTTTGTGGCCCCGTCCGAATTTCTCCGAGGGCAATTTTCTGTCAAGGGCGAATTTTGGAGGGTCCTGGGGCCCAAGATTGACAAGGAACCAGCGGGCGAATGACGTTAGCTTAGAAAATTATAGCCCCAGGCGCAAACTACCGTGAATACCACGAGGCTCTGCAGGTGGCAACCGTTGCGAGGCAAGCGATTGTGCACGGAAACGCGCCCAACTCAATGGGAGGGCAGGCGAAACCCAAGAAGTCCCAACCCCATTCAAGACGAAGCCAGGACAAAGATAACATCGGGTGAGGATGAATCGAGACTCTCTGAGTTCCGGCGGCTCTTGAGGACGACTCGGGCGCTGCGGCCTTCTCAGAGCGTTCCGCAATGCTCTGAGAGCGTTCTGGAACGCAGGGGGTCCCCACGCCGATCCAAGAAATCCGCACGGACCTCAGAGAAATTACTTTTATGCAATTTTCTGTTCCTCGGGATCACGGCACGCACGCAATCACATCGTCGTCGATCTGGGCAAACATCGGAGATAATCGCGTAATGGTGTAATTGGCTCAAGACACGCTCCAAGAATTCTGGAGCATCTAGGGGCTCTCATTTCTTGAGCCCGTGCGGAACGATAGGAGATCTCGGAAATCCGGGGAATCTTGAAACGCATCATTTCATGACTTCGTGCTCCTCTGGACTCGTGTGGAGCATATTCAGGTCTTGTTCCTAAGATCCGCTGACCTCCTGGATAAGAATTGCTGCTTACATTATTCCTCCCCTCCCACTGCCCTGCTCAGCTGGCGCAGAGTTCCGCTCACAGTCGGACCTACGCAAGAAGCGCATCCTTCAATAACATGAGACCCTCCGCCGGGCCAAACACACAGCACATCCAAGGGTATCCTACCCAGGATGCACAAGAGCACCCAGCAGATTTGAATAACATCAGGGCACCCTCCCTGAGCCGACCTTGGTTCGATCTTTTACCTCGGTCCGGTGATACTTTTTTCTCCCCCCCCCTCCCACTGCACTGATCTTAAGTCGGGCCTGTCCCTCTACAGGAGGAATAGTCAAAAATAGTTAAGAAATAGTCGGGGACTATTTTTGCCGTATGTTTTGAACATTTTGGGGGCATGTTTGTTGTATTTTCTAGTTTTCGTTCAAAATCGGCCTGTAGGGGGACAGGCCCGACCTGACACCGATCCGCTGGCGCAGAGTTTCGCTCGCTTCTGCTTGCGACTGCTCGTGCCTGGTCCCTTGCCCACATGCCAGACGGCCGGCCGCCACGTCGCGGGCAGACCGCCTTGACCCTCGAGCCCTCCCCTGCAGCTCCGGGTCCGAGGCCGTGGAGGAGGAGGAGGCAGGCAGAGGACAGAAAGCCGGGGCTGCAGGGCGACGAGGTCTAGACATATCCACTGTGACCCCTGGCCAGGCCCAGCCGAAGCCCCGCAGCGGTGTACACGGCCACGCCCTCCTGGCTCTGCCAGGACAGCGTCTGCACAGCTCCTCGGTTCAGGATGGGCCTGGCCAGGGAGCAGTGCATAGGTATGAACTTCGTCGCCCGAGGTTGAGGAGGAGCTTGGGGGGCAGCCAGGACCGATCCCAGCGAGTCGCAGCCCCTCGCGCTCCTTCGAACGCACGCGCACCAGACTGGCAAGCACCTGCCGCAGACGCGCCGTGCCTCCGTGCGCGTGCGGGCCTCCCGAGCGCCCAAGAACACGGGCCCCGGCGGCCGGAGTCGACGAAACCGCGAGCTGGAAAACGAACATCTCACAAGGGAACTGTGATCGTGTTCGTCTTCGGCGTTTCGACATTGGGCGGAAAGGGGGGGGGATTGGGCGTGGCGTAATGGGGGGGTCATAGATGGGGGGGTCAGAAAAGGTCCCCTTTCGTGCCCCTTTCGGGCCCCTCCAGAGCCCCAGGGGGCTCGTTTAGGTACCGTTTGGGTACCTTTTCGAACCACCCTCGCCACCCCCCCATTTATGACCCCCCCATTACGCGGCGCCCAAGGGGAGGGGGGGTGTCCGGCTCCGGACCTCTGCTCAACGCGACTGCTTGCGGCAGTGCGTCCCATGATACAGAGGGGGCTCGGCCACAAGAAACCTCCGCAAGACACCCAACCCCGAAGTCCGCGGATTTTCGTTCAAAGTCGAAGGTTTTCAGTCGAACGTCTGCAGGTTTCTACTGGGAGCCCATCGAAACCCAAGAAACCCATGGCACCCAGGCGAAATCCAAGTGGTTTCTTGGCACGCGCCCCGACTGTAGAGGAGGCTCCACCTGCCTGAAACAGGCGCCAAAAGCAGCCAATATCTACTCCACGGGGTGGGGGGGGGGGCAGGGGAGGCCCGATGGCCCGCGCCGATCGGCAGGACAATGGATAAGAAAACGACCACTATGTCGACCCCCATCCCAGGCTTCGTGGGAATTTCGAATGGACCAGGAATTTGGGGCCCAAACTCTGTGATATACAGGGGAGGGCGTCCATCTTCGACAAGAGGTGCGTCCGGATAGCCCCCTTGGACTGCATCCCAGGGCTTCCCTCCGCTTTCCTCTGAGCCCACTCTTCGTCGCAAAGTCGGGGGCGGGGGGAGACGCATCGCCTGCGAACGTCGTCGTCGGTTTGGGCGCACGCGCGATCGGTGATCATCTGCCGAAAACTATTTGGGGTCCCAAAACCGTGCGCTGACAGACCGGGCGGTAACCTCGGAACCCCAGGAGAGACCTCACCGCACGGTCCGTCGCCGCACGGCCTTGGGACCCTTGGTCGCCCGAGACGTCCCCGGAGCACGACCCGGGTCCCAAAACCGTGCGGCGACCCCGAAGCCCCACCGACCCACCACACGGTGTGGCCACCACCCCCGTTTTGGGGGCCCCCGAGCCACACGCGCCATCGGCGATCGGCTGCCGACAAAAACCCACCGCGCCCCGGTGCGAAGCGGGCCTGCCGGAGCGCAGCCGCGGCGGCGCGAGCACCTGGCGGCTGCCGAGCGCCCGGCCCGGCCGCGGGCGCGCCCACTCTCGCCTCGCACGCGGCCAACCTGGCGCCGAGCGCGGCCAGCTCGTCCGACGCGGGGCCTCGGGGCCCAATGGGGGGAGGGGAGGCAAAGGCCCTTTGCCCGCACTCTCTCGGCGCCGCTGCTCCGCGCCCCGCCTGTCAAGGGGAAGTCCGACGAGGGAGCCTGTTGCTCCCCAGCATCCGTTGGTGTCGGGCCTTCGTATTGAAAGAGCAACGCCGCGCGTCACACCTCCTCCTCTTCCTCCTCCTCCTCCTGCTTCCCCTCTTCCCATCCCTGCCTCTGCCCTGCGCACACGAATTTCGACTCACCGCTCATTCGTTTCGTGGCCCCCTAGAAAGCTCCACCGAAGGCCCCCTGATGGCAGCGCCCGCATGGCGCCGTAGCGGCATTTTGGCACACTTCTCGCACGGTTTGTGGTCCCGTAGAAGCTTCACCGAAGACCAACACGGCAGCGCCCGCATGTCGTCGCCGCCACATTTTGGTTCACCCCTTGCACGTTGTGTGGCCCCGTGTAAGGAACTCAACCGAAAACCCAAATGACAACGCCCGCATGGCACCGCAGCCCAATTTGGCACAACCCCGCAACTGTGGCACACCCCTCACGCGTTCTGTGGCCCCACAAGAAGCCCGACAAAAGGCCCCAGCGGCAGCACCCGCATGGTGCCGCCGCCACATTTTGGCACACACTCCTCACACGCTTCGCGGCGTCATAGGGGAGCTCCACCCGAGGCCCACATGGCAACGCCCGCATGGCGCCGCCGCCCCGATTGGGGCTCACCCATCGCATGTTTCGTGGCCTCGTTTTGGCACACCCCTTACACGCTTCGTGGCCCCATCGGGAGCACCACCGAAGGCCCACAAGGCAGCGCCCCCATGACGCCGCCGCCCCAGTTGGGGTTCACCCCTCGCGCGCTTCGTATCCCCACCAGGAGCTCGGCGTTCAACCGAAGGGCCGAACGACAGCGCCCGCGTGGCGCCGCCGCCCAATTTGGGCTCACCCCTCACACGACTCGTGGCATCGCAAGGACCTCCACCAAGGGCCCACATGAAAGCGCCCGCATGTTGCCGCCGCTCAATTTCGGAACGCACCCACCACACGCCTCGTGAACCCATAGGAAACCACACAGAAGGCCCCAATTGCAGCGCCCACATGGCGCCGCCGCGTACGCTTTGTGGCCCCATACGCGACCTCCACCGAGGGCCGGCCCAAGTGGCAGCGCTTGCATGGGATTTCGGTACACCCTTCGCACGCGCCGAGGCCCCACAGGGGGCTCCACCGAAGGCCCACTTGGCAACACGCCTGCATGGCGTCGCCGCCCTGGCACACCTCTCGCACGCTTCGTGGCCCCGCAGGGAACTAACTCCACATGAGGCCCAAGCGGCAGCGCACGCATGGCGCCGCCTTCCCATATTCGTGGCCCCATAGGGAGATCCACCGAACGCCCAAATGGCCGCGTTCACATGGCGCCGCCGCCTTTTTTTTGGGCACACCCCTCGCACGGTTCGTAGCTCCACAAGGAGCTCATCCGGAGGCCCGAGCGGCAGCGCTTGCATGGCGCCGCCGCCCCATTTTGGCTCACCCATCGCGCGCCTCGTGGCCCTATAGGGGGCTCCGCTGAACGCTCGATCGGCAAAGCCCGCGAGACACCGCCGCATCATGTTGGCACCTGTCGCGCGCTTCGTGGCCCCATAGATAAACCAACAACACGCCCCCGCGACAACGTCCGCATGGCGACGCCGCTCCAATTTCGGCACACGCGTTTAGTGGCCCCGCGGGGGGGCCCGAAAAACACCCAGGAACCCGCCAGGCGGCGCCCCGCCATTCTCGGTCATCCCTCACACTCTGCGTAGCCCCATAGGGAACCTCTCCTTTCTTCCCACTTGTCTTGCGGTACTCACACATTCACGTGGTTGGGCTCGTCGCAAGAATAATGACTCACGGTTTTTTGGTCGTTCTCAACCGCGTCCTGACGCGACGGCCACCTGGCCAATGTCGGTTGGAAGGAAGAGTGGCCGGAGGGTGCGTGACTGTTCGGCGTGGGTCCCCGAATATGTGTATATCATTTGTCTGGCATGTTTCGCTGTGTGTGTGTGTCGGTAGGCATGCGGGCGCGACAGCGAGTCTGAATGGACGACGGGTGCGACGGTGACGACATCAACGACGACGCGGATGGCCAACGAAAGAATTGACAACCATCGGGATGCAGGATGTGACCTAACCTTTCGCCGCGGCTTGGAGACTGGATGAGAATGCCGAGGAAGAAATCGGGAAAGGCGGCGAGGAGGTATAACTGACATGGACATGGGTCAGGCAAACACAAGCATGAACAGGAATGAGCGCCATGGAAAGGCGTGCCTTGGCGATCCGCCGAGGCACGGCGTGAATTGGAAGCTATCGCGCCGTCGGCATGGGGGCGACGTGGCCAATGGCCCAGCCGACGGTGGGAAAAACAGTCGCCCGCACTTGGAATCGGGGCCGGCGCAAGGCATCGGGCTGGGCGTGGCTGCGCGGGAGGAATGCTGGAAAACATAAGCCGCCCGGACTTGGCACTGGGCCGACAGCTCGGGGCCGCTCGCGCAATTGCAAAAAAAAACGCATCACGTGGCGGCTTTCCCCAGCGTCAGCTCCAGCAGGGCCGTGGGCACTGGGCACCGGCTCACAGAGGGCGCGGGCCGCTACTTTTCTTCCACCAAACGTATCTCATACTGCCCGGCAAGCAAAACGGCTCTCGTCCGCGTCGATTTGATAGAAGTCCCGAAGCGGTCGGAAGCTTTCTTCACCGCCTCCACCAAACCTCTTTCCAACAACTCGCGAAACGGCCGCACCAGCAGCATATCCGCTGTCCGGGTGGCGCAGGGGAACATCACAGCCATCGCGCGTTGGCGTCAGCGCCACGTTGTCCCTGGCGCTCCTGGCGCGCGCAGTCGATGGTCACCGCTCGAGGTTCCCCCACAATCTGGGCGCGGCGTGAAGTTTAAAGAACCATTGGGGCCCACCCTTCAGGTGCCCACGTGCCACGCCTGTTATATTGCGGTGGGGATTGAACCACCACGAAAGAGAAGGTTGGGGGGCCGAAACGACATCCCCACGCTCTGGGCGCGACAACCGAAATTCAAACACATGTGTCGGCTCCTCGATGGGGTGCCGAAGTAACACGCCTACTATATCACGGTGAGTATTGGGCCGCTAATACGAAACAATCAGGAGTGCCGAGAACTGCAAATCACTCAGGAAATCCCCGCAATCTGGGCGCGAATGATGAAGTACAATCCCCCCTGGCGACCCCCTTAGGGTGCCGAAGTAGCACTCTTGCTGTGTAGCGGTAAAAGTTGGCTCACCAACAGAAGCAAGTCCCACCAGCCCTTTGGGCGTGAGTGGTTTAGAGAGCCCGCTCTGTCCTCAACCCCCCTTCTTCCCCTTCGGGGAGGGGTTTACCCCTCCCCCTACCCCCTCCCCCTGGACCTGGACAGGGAGTCCGGGGCGTAGTCAGGGGGGTCTTTTTTGACTCCTGGGAGGGCCAAAAAACGACGACCCTCACGAGGATTCTGGCCCCGCCGGGGGGATACAGTTTGGCCCCTCTGCTCTTCTTGGAAGCCAACATCATTGATTTTACTAGGGTTTTGGCCCCATTTTGGCCTCCTGAGGGGGCCGCGCTCATCTTCCTTCATAGCAAAATCATTGATTTTACGAAGGTGTTGGGCTCATTTTGTCCTTCTCAGGGGGCAGCGCTCCTTTGCGCTTCTGAGGAGGTCGCAAGAGGCCCCAAGATGGCCCCAAGAGGCCCCCAGGAGGCTCCCAAGAGGCCTCCAAGAGGCCCCCAAGAGGCCCCCAAGAGGCCCCAAGAGGCCCCCAAGAGGCCCCCAAGAGGCCCCCAAGAGGCCCCAGAGGCCCCAAGAGGCCCCCAAGAGGCCCCCAAGAGGCCCCCAAGAGGCCCCCAAGAGGCCCCAAGAGGCTCCAAGAGGCCCCCAAGAGGCCCCACGAGGAGCCCGAACGACTCACACCAGGACGAGGGGCCCGAACGACTCACACCACGAAGAGCCCGAACGACTCACACCACAAGGAGGGGCCCGAACGACTCACACCAGGACGAGGCGCCCGAACGACTCACACCACGAGGAGCCCGAACGACTCACACCACGACGCGGGCCCCGAACGACTCACACCACGAGGAGCCCGAACGAGTCACACCAGGAGGAGGGGCCCGAACGACTCACACCAGGATGAGGGGCCCGAACAACTCACACCACGAGAAGCCCGAACGACTCACACCAGGACGAAGAGCCCGAACGACTCACACCACGAAGAGCCCGAACGACTCACACCAGGAAGAAGGGCCCGAACGACTCACACCAGGACGAGAAACCCCAAACGACTCAAATCACGAGGAGCGCTTTCTCTCCCTCCTCCTCCGCCTCGTCCTTCTCCCGCTCCCCCCACAAGGAGGATGTACAAGGAGGCGGGAGGAAAGAGGAACAGGGGAGATATGCGGGGCCAAGCGGACGCACGCCTGAAAAACACGACTGTCGGCATGCTTCGCAAGAGTTGCTGCTGTGAGATGGGCTGGTGGGGATACGCGAAGCGTAAAGAATTTGGGAATCCTAAACCGATCATGGCATTCCCACAATCGATGCGCGAAGAATGAAGTGCAATCGCCCCTGGCACTCCCCCATGGGGTGCCCAAGTGCCACGATTGCTATATCGCGGTGAACCTTGGACCACCCAAAGAGTAAAGTCTGGGAGGCGAAACAAGCAAACCGACGAAAACATCCTGAGAATCTGGGCGCGAATAATGTCCTGCAAAGTTTGCACGACAAGCGCCCCGGGCCAATCCCTTTTGGGGTGCCGAACAGACACGCCTGCTATACCGCGGTGAGCAGTGGACGACTACAACAAACCTGGGGGGGCGAAGCAAACAAAACCGCCTGAGGCATCCCCACAATTTGGGCGCGAACGATGAAGTGCAACCGGCTCCCCCATGGAGTGCCTAAATGCCACGCCTGTGAAACGCTGCGAGCATTGGACCACCAACAGAGAAGGGTCTAGGGGGGGGCAGGAAAAAGCATACTGCTTTAGACATCCCCACAATCTCGGCGCGAATAATGAGGCAACACCCCTGGCGGCTCCCCGCGGGGCGCACAAGAGCCAATCTACTAGATCGCAGTGAACCTTGGACAACCAGACGAGAGAAATCTGGGACCAACCGGAAAACTGGACAACCAAACCAGACAACCTTGGAACAACTGGACCAAGCAAACCGCTAAGACATCCTGACAACCTGGGCGCGAAGAATGGCGTGCACACGCTCCTGGCTGCTCCCTCTTTGGGTGCCCAACTGCCTCGAATGCTATATCGCGGTGTGCATTGGACCACCCAAAAACAAAAGTGTGGGGCGTCGCTTATCACAACACCGCCTGGGACATCCCCACAGTGGGCGCGAATAGTCCGCCAACGCCTTGGGGTCACGGCGTGTGAGATGCTCCCCCCTCCCCAAACCAGTCCGGCCGGTTTAGAGGGGTGGGTGGGGGTGGGGGGCAAAGGTGCCGGCCGCACACTTGGAGCCTCAGAGGGCCCCAAAACGAACCCCAGACAATTCAAAAGGGCCTCGGAAAGGTCCAAGAGAGCTACGAGTCGACGAAAGATCGTTCCAAAACGTCGAAGATTGCCTCCAGACGGCCCCATCAGTCCCCAAGATTCTTGAGAAAGTACTACGAGGCGCCCCACGAAGGCCCTCCAGAAGCACAAATCGTCCCATTCCCCAGGCAAAACGTACATTTTCAGCAAATTCGCCTTTTGGGCTTCCACGCGGCCCAGAATGGCCCCAAAAGCGTCCTCCGCAGCCCAAGAGTCTCCCATATAGGTCCACGACGACTTCCAAACGATCCACGAAGGCCCCAAAGGCCACAACAACGGCCCTGGAGAGCCGCAGGACGGTCCCAAGAGGGCTCCAAAACTGGCCAACAGGGCCCCCAAAGGCTCCTCAGACGGCCCACGCGGGGGACGATTCGGTTCAAACCGCTCAATATTACCTCCAGACGGCCCCATAAGCCTCCAAAGCGTTTGAAAACGCGGCCACGAAACGCTCCAAGACAGTTTCCAGAAGCACAGAATCGTCCCAGTGGAAAGCGCACATTTTCAGTGCATTCGCTTCTTGGGCTTCCACGAGGCCCACAACGGCCCAGTAAACCTCAAACTTCGACCCCCGACACCCTTAGACGTCAGAAACTACAGCAACGGCCCAGGACAGTCGCAGGACGGACTCACGAGAGCCCCACAACGGGCCAAGAAGGTTCCCAAAGGCCCTTTGGACGGCCCACGAGGGGGACGATTCGGTCCAAACCGCAACAGTTTGCTTGCAGACGGTTCCCCATAAGCCCCCGAGACGTTGGAAAAACTACCACGAGGCGCTCCGCGAAGGCCTCCACAAGCAAAAATCGTTTCATTCCCGGAAGGAAACATGCATTTTCAGCACATTCGCCTCTTGGGCTTCCACGAGGCTGGCAACGGCCCAACAAACATCCAACATCGACCTCCTACAGCTCCAGAGGCGCGTCGCAACCACTCCCCCGCCCCTTTTTTTCCGCGGGCCACCGCCGCCGCCGCCGTTCTCCAGCCCCCCCCTCCCCGCTCCCCTCCTCTCAACGTGCCGCCGCCCCTGCCCCCCGTCCGCACCGAGGCCCCCGCCTCTCCCCCCCGTCCCCGCTGTTATCCAGCAGCATGGTGCCCCCTTCTCCCCGACCATTTGATTTTCGCGTCGCAGCCCCCCACACCACCCCCGTCTCCCCATCCTTAATTCCTATGATTAAACACCCCCGCATCCCCACCTAGCTGGCCGATAGCAGCCCCGCCGTCCTAACTTTCGACAACGACACTAACTCAATTTTTTGCTCGCCAGCATGTCGTCGCGCTGCGACAAGTGTAGCAGGAATGGGACGGAATGAACATCGCCTGGGTAACCCTAAGCGGTGGCCGCGTCCTGCCAATCAACAGACAATTCGAAGTCAACGTTTTCTCGTCAACATTGACTTTCTTGTCGTCGAAGCTGCGGAACTGTAGTAGGAATGGGACGCGGCGCGCATCGCGCGCGGACGCCTGGCCAACCCTACGCGGGACCCCCCGTCCTACCTGTCAAAAATCACCGCAACGTCGACGTTTCTATTGCCAACATGTCCTTTCTCCTCGTCGGCGCTGCGAATCGCGTAGCGGGAATGGGGCGCGGCGCACATCACGCGGGGACGCCTGCTCGTCAACGTGGGCTTTCTTGTCGTCGACGCTGCGGCCCGTCGGATTGACGAGCTGGGCGGGCGGCAAACAACTCATAATGCCTCAAGCAAGTGCGGTTCGCCGCCGGCGCGCCCGTTGTCGTGTCCACGTAAGAGAGACCTTTGGCAACAGTGACCTTGGGCGGCGCACTTCGCGCGCTAGATATGTTGTCGCCGACGATGCAACATGAGAGGACGGAGCGGGGCGCGGCGTACATCGCGCGCGGTATTGTTTCTCATCGACGTTGCTCAATACGCGGCAGGAATAGGACGCAATTCCTGTCGCGCGCTGAGCGTCGAGCCGCTCACGATATAAGATCAGCGACACGCGTCGGACGCGACGCACTTGCTTCTTATGTTGTGGGAGGGCGGGTGAAAGTGGACGGAGCACTCTGGCTCGTTCGAGCTGGCTAACTTGACCTCCACCCCCTACCTTAGCTCCCCCCCGGAGGCCCCCGCCCCCGCCGCCTTGTCCCCACCGTCCTCCAGCAGCCCGATGCCCCCCTCCGCCCCGACCATTTACTTCTCGCGTTGCAGCCCCCGCCCCGCTCCCCTTTCCACCCCCCCACACTCCCCTCCCCCCCCCTCGGCAGGCCCCCGCCCCCGCCCTTCTCTCCGTTGTGTCCTCCAGCAATCCAATGCCTCCCTCTCCGCCCCGACCATTTCACTTTCTGCGTTGCAGCCCCCCGCCCCACCCCCCTCTGCAGCCCCCAACCTCCCTCCCCCCTGGCAGGCAACTGCCCCCGCCGTCGTCCCCATTGTCCTCCAGCAGCCCAATGCCCCCTCCGCCCCGACCGCTATCTATTTCGCGTCGCAGCCCCCCTCACCACCCCCTCCGCCCCGCAGTGACCTCTCCGCCCCTACCATTTTATGTGTCGCGTCGCAGACCACCCACCTCCGTCGGAGGCCCCCACCACCGCCCCCGGCCCCCGCTATCCTCCAGCAGCCATCTTGCAGGGGACGGCCCTGAAAGCCTCCGCGAACTCGCCCTCTGAAGCCCCTCTTGCGGCCCTCTTTGTTCCCTCCTTCTCCGATGTCTCGCCCCCTCTTCTCCCCCTTCTCCTTCACTTCCCTCCTCCTCTTCCTCCTCCTCCTCCCCTCCTCCTCCTGTTCCTCCTCCTGTTTTCCTCCTGTTATTCTTTCTCCCCTCCTCCTCCTCCTCCTCCTCCTCCCCTCTTCCTCCTCCTCCTCCTCCTCCTCCTCCTCCTCCTCCTCCTCCTCCTCCTCCTCCCCCCTTTTTGTGCAAGAGCCATGGCACGCGTGCCACTTGGGATGAGTCATGGGATTGCATCGTTGATGAGTCATGGGATTGCATTGGTCCTCCTCCCTCTCGCCCTCCTCCTCCCCTCCTCCTCGCCCTCCTCCCACTCGATCTCCCCCTCTTCCTCCTGGCCCTCCTCCCCCTGCTCCAACCCCTGCCCCTCCCCCTCCTTCTGCTCGCCCTCGTCCTTCTGCTCGTCCTCCTCCCCCGACCCCTGCTCGTCCTCGTCCTCCTCCTCGTCCTCGCCCTCCTCGTCCCCGCCTCCCCATGTCGGGAGCGGCCAAGAGGGGGGTGTCCAAGAGGGGGGGGTGCAAATCATGACTGGCGGCATGTGCGCGGCTCAGCGGGGGGGCCAGGGACGTAATGAAACAAGAAGAGGCGCCACGAGATCTGGGGAAATATCATGGCCCCCGCCATGATATCCACCCCCCCCTAGTCATCACCCCCCTCTTTTCCGCCCCCGACCATGGCACGCCCCCGCAGGCCCGGAGCCGAGGCCGGTGCCCGCCGCCATGGCGGTGGCGCAGATGCGGGCCCGCCGAGCGCGGGGGGGCGGGCGCGACTCCGCGGGGCGCCTCGGGGCCGGGGCGCTTTTGCAGCTCGGGGCCGTGCGGCCTTCCTGTGGCTCGCCGCGGGGCCTCCACGAAGTTGCCTCCGAAGTGTCCCTCCGACGATCGTGGCCCCCCTCGCCCCGAGGATACCGCCGAACGCGGCGCGCCCGAGGGCGGGCGGACAGCTGCATGCACCCGCACCGGGTTTCGCCGCGAGCGCTGGCCGAGGTGGTCCCGGAGGGTGCTTGTTGTGACGCACGCGCGTCGAGCAAAGTACTCCAGATTTCGTAATAAAGGGAGGGGGGTCTCATTTCGGGGGGGTCTCTTCCAGGCTGTCTTGGAGGGCCTGGGGGGGTCTGGGGACGATGTTTTGGAGGGTTCTCCCACTGGGGGGGTCTGAAGTGGCTTGTCTTGGAGGGTCCAGACCCCCTCCCTTTTATTACGAAATCTGGAGTAGGTCGGGCATGTCCCCCTGCAGGGCTTTCCATGAAGAGTGATGAATGGTCAACAAAAATCCGAAATGGTCAAGGATCGTCCCAAACTAGTTCCCGCACTATCTTTTGACCATGTTCGAATCATCCTCCTGTAGATGGACAGGCCCGACTTAATGCAAAGGGGATGGGGGGGCTAGAAGTGGATACTAAAGTGGGTTCTATTTAGCCTACGGCAGGTTCGTGTCGTGACGACCCCAGCGTTGGTTTCTGACACCGCGGGGGTCGTTCAACCTTGAACGATCGGCCGTTTCCGAAACGTCCAAATCGTTCCACATCGAACGATTCTGGGTCGCCCGCGGCGTTCAATGTTGAACGCCGCTGGCGGGGTCGCCGCCGGTCGACACGACACGACACTACCGCAAACCAGCTTAGAAGTGGGTTGCACGAGCCCTAAGTGTCTTGAGGGAACACAGATCTGGGCTGAGTGGGTGGAGCCCACTTGGCGGAGTTGCCTCATCATTCTAAGCCACATCGGGCACGTGTAACCCACTTATAAGTTTGGGTAGGCCCGGTAAAACGGTAAAACCCACTTTAGCATCCACTTCGAACCCCCCCATCCCCTGAACAACCACCGCGGCGATCCAAGTTCACGCCAGACCGGCATTGGCCGGATGGCCGTTGCGCCACAAGGGTTGTCGAATTGGAAATGCATGCCTCAGCTCGACACGCGTGCGTTAACAACCCAGAGAGCCCCAGCGGAGTAACAGCAGTGATTTCCGTTGGTTTAATGAACGGTTTTCGTCGTCGCCGTCGTCGCTGCTGCCGTCGGCGTCCCCCTTCGGGGACGGCGTCTGCCGTCGTCGTCCCCCTTCGGGGACGGCGGCACTTGCCATAAGGCCTTTGCAACCTGAGCTGGCACGGGAACGGATAGAGCGCTTCTATGGAGCGGACGTTTGAGCATGGCCGCAGGGGTTTGGCGGCCGTTTACGCGGCAGCGGGGAGATCTTGGGGATCCTAGCTTTTTATGTCAGCGTTCGCTCCTGAAGTCGTGCCGTTGAAGTCTTGAAAGGCCTCTAGACAAGCTCTGGGAATAATCTTGAAGGCCTCCTGGGGCTATTTTCCATTTGTCGAGCTCTCATTAGCAACTTTATGACCTTCTTGGGCCGTCCCCGGGCCTTCTTGGACCGTCTTGAGGAACTTGGGCGGGCTTGGGCGCTCTTGGGACCCTCTTGGGATCCTCCTCTAGTCCCCGTGGAGCTCTCCTGGGAGCCGCTTGGGACTCTGCGGGGCCCTCCTTGTGCTGTCTTGGGTGTTCCTTGGGCCATCTTCAGGCGATCTTGGGCCGTTTTGAAGCCCTCTTGGGGGCCTCAGGGCACGTTTTTGGGCGATCTCGTATGCCCCCCATTTTTTCATAATATATAGGTAACTAATACATGAATGAATCAATCAATCATCAATTAATCAATCAATTAATCAATTATTTATATTTGAATCAGCGAGAACTCCGAAATCAGTCAAAAACCAACAAAGATAATCTATGGATGTTCCCTCCTGGATCCCTCTTGAAGGTCCTCGTGGGGCCTCTTGGGGCGGGGGCCTCTGAGGCCGTCTTGGGGCCATCGTCGCCCCTCGTGGAGCGCTCGTTGGCCGTCTTCGGACCTCTTGGGCCTCTCTTGGGCAGTCTGGGCGCTATCTTGCGCCGTCTTGGGAGCATGTTCGGCCATCCTGGGAACCTGTTGCGCCATCTTGAAACCTCCTGGGCCACATAAGCCGCCAACATGGCCCCGGAGGGCGTGTTAGAACATCCCCCCAAGATCCCCCCCATTGGGGCTAGAACCCTATGCAGAACTTCTCTCGCTAGCGCTCTTTCCGTTATCCGCCACCGTGCCTGCACGAAGTGGGCGTGTCAGAATGCTCGTCTGTTGTCAGGGAAGTTCTGTAAAATCTTACATATGGCCACCCCCCCAGGCCGACACGCCACTCTTGAAAATCGTCCGTTCTCAAGCTGCTTTCTGGCGGTCTTTTCGGCCTGCAGACGGCCACGATGTCCTCCAAGACAGCTTGCAAGACAGCCAAGACGACAACACGTCGGCTCAAGATGACCCAGGACAGCTCAAGAGCCTCTCAAGCGAGCTCCAAGAAGCGGCCCAAGGAGCCTCCAAAAGGCCTCCACTATAGTTCCAAGAAAGCCCAAGAGGCCCCCAAGAGAGCCCCGAGTCTGCCCAAGAGGACCCAAAGATCGCCCGAAGGGCTCCAAAAAGGGCCCCAAGACGGCCTTGAACCGCTCCGAAAAGGCACCTCCGCCGTCTAGAGAGCCCCCTATGCGTCAGACGGGCCAAGTGTCCATTAAGACGGCCCAAGAAGCCCCAAGGGACCCCCAAGAGGCCCAGCGATGCCCCAAATAAGCTTTCGGGAAGCTTCCAGGAGGCCCCCAGGAAGCCCCAAGGTCACAAGAAACCTTCTCCTCCTCATCCTCATATTCTCTTTTCTCTTCTCTCTTTTCTCCTGCTCCTGCTCCTCCTCCTCCTCCTCCTCCTCTTCCTCCTCCTCCTCCTCCTCCTCCTCCTCCCTATTGAATGCGAGGCCGGATCGCGACCCGCCCCACTGCAGACGACTCGTCGGAATTGCGCTGTTCCTGCGCTCAGCCTCTGTCCAGATGCGCTGTTGCACCGGCGCGGTGGCGGGGTTGGCCACAAGCAACTGGACACTCCAGATTTCGTAATAAAAGGGAGGGGGTCTGGACCCTCCAAGACAAGCCACTTCAGACCCCCCCAGTGGGAGAACCCTCCAAAACATCGTCCCCAGACCCCCCCAGGCCCTCCAAGACAGCCTGGAAGAGACCCCCCCCGAAATGAGACCCCCCTCCCTTGATTACGAAATCTGGAGTACTTTGCTCGACGCGCGTGCGTCACAACAAGCACCCTCCGGGACCACCTCGGCCAGCGCTCGCGGCGAAACCCGGTGCGGGTGCATGCAGCTGTCCGCCCGCCCTCGGGCGCGCCGCGTTCGGCGGTATCCTCGGGGCGAGGGGGGCCACGATCGTCGGAGGGACACTTCGGAGGCAACTTCGTGGAGGCCTTCGTCCACATGGTAAGAAGCTGTTGATATGGGGAAAACAAACCTACCTCGCTTTTGACCACCCTCGCTTCCAAGAGATACCAAACGATGCCAAATTGCAGCCTGTACTGGTCAGGCCGCTTGACGAGGAGGCGCGTGGTATGGCTTGGTTTTGCCTGGAAGCGAAAGCGGGGTAGGTAATTCACGCTCTGAGTTGAACCTGATTGAGGGCCATTTGGCTGGGTCGGGCCGGAGTAGGCCCAAGACTACAGCGGATCACGCGGAACTGCGCCCGATCTGCCGGCGTTTCGGCCACGGGTGTGCCTGAATATCCAACCAAAGACACACGGAGGGAGGAGGGGGGGAAAAGGATCTTCTCGGGTAGGTACTAATACACAATCAACACCTATCATAGGGACGGGCGGCAAGGACGCAATACCCCTGGAGGCCGACGTTGGGACATGCTGGGCAGCGGGCGGCCAACACCCCATGGGACGCAGGGGCACTCGGCGCCGCAGAGCGCAGAGGCAAGGATCCACGGGTACCCTAGGCAAGGCGCGTGTCTTTGAAGGGGCCCCAGGACACACAAATAAATACACACAAATAACACATTCCCCATCTTTTCCCATATCTTCTGGGTTTCCGTCTTCCCCCCCACTTCCCATGTTTTCCCATATTTTCCTGGGAATCGAGGATTACTTGTGTCTGTGTGTTTTTTTCCCCTCCTGAACAGGAGGAAAAGAAACACACAGACACAATTAATCCTCGATTTCCCAAAAAAATATTGGAAAATATGGGCAGTGGGGGGGAAGACAGAAACCCAGAAAATATGAGGAAATATGGGGACTATTTTTATTTGTGTGTATTTATTTGTGTGTCCTGGGGCCCCTTCAGAATCTTTGTCGTGGCTTTTGACTGCAAGTCCCGGCCAGCGCAACTCCTTCCTCCCCTCGGGCGGCCGCTGCTCGGTGCGCGGGCACTCTGACCTGGCACTGGGCAGCTGCTGCTCCCCGGTGGCCGGTGCGGCGCGCCGGGGATGTGCGCTGGCATCAGCTGTGTAGTGCTTCGGATTCGCGGCACGCTGGGAGGAAGAGGAGGCGGAGAAAAAGGAGTTGGACGAGGAGGAGGAGGAGGAGGAGGAGGAGGAGGAGGAGAAAAAGGAGGAGGAGGAGGAGGATGAGGAGGAGGAGGAGAAGGACAAGGACATCCGCAGAAGGGGGCCAACGCCAACAGCTACGAAGGAGCTGTGCGTGCGACTAGCAAAACCCCCTGCGATTAGATTGTGCCGCAGACACAGACTTCTCATGGGGGCCGGCAGGGGGCAGACCCCGAAGTTTCTCAAGGGACGAGCTCCGAGGTGGCCCCGTAAGAGAGAGGCTCGCTACCTTGTAAGTACGAATGCCTACGGGTCAGTGTGTGGGGGGGGGGGCAACTGTTGGCCCTCTCGCGTGCCCATGACAATTGGGACGCGCCGGGCGTGCAGGGCTCCCAAACGAGGGGGGGAACGACGACACGACCACACTCAAAAAGGATGAAAGGAGGGGATGCAGGAGGCCCTTGCGTGCCAAGCTTTGCAGGGGGGTTC